CAAAAATGAATGAGGAGGTGAGTAAATGGAGTGAATTGCTACTCATTGCTTCTTTTTCAATAGGAGTCATCTGAGACCTAGTGTGCTCCGTTCTCCAGAGTGCTCAGGAGCTGACAGGGGCTAGGAATCCACGGTGGGTCACAGCTTGACCTGCCTGTTCTCACTCCCTCTGGTGTTTTGGTAAATCAATTGTAAGGTATTTAGGACCTTGGAGAGACAATGTTATGCATGGTGGATACCATCTAGGACCAAGACCCAAAGGCTTTTCCCCCAAACAGCTAAGGCACCAGCCACATACACCTGAGTAATAGAGTGTTTGGATTGTTTCAAATTAAAATTGGAGGCTTGGCACCTGTGGCTCAAGTGGCTAAGGCGCCAGCCACATACACCTAAGGTGGCGGGTTTGAATCCAGCCCCGGCGGCCAAAACAACAATGATAGCTGCAACCAAAAAAAAAAATAGCTGGGCACTGTGTTGGGTGCCTGTGGTCCCAGCTACTTGGGAGGCTGAGGCAGGAGACTCGCTTGAGCCCAAAAGTTAAAGGTTTCTCTGAGCTGTGATGCCATGGCACTCTACCCAGGGGGATAGCTTGAGGCTCTGTCTCAAAAAAAAAAAATTAAAATTGGAGATGTGAGGCCAAGCATAGTGGTGGGTTCATATAGTCCCAGCTACTCAGGAGGTTGAGGCAAGAAGATTGCTTGAGCCCAGGAATTTGAGGTTGCTGTGAGCTAGGCTGAGGCCACGGCATTCTAACCTGGGTGACAGCAAGACACTGTCTCCAAAAAAAAAAAAAAAAAATTGTAGACTTGAGGTGCTGGATCTAATCTCCCACTCCTCAGGATAACCCAGCTTCCTCCAAACCCCATAAAGGAAGCCTGCTTTAGTTATAGGTAAGAACTCTGTCAGGGACAGTGCTTCACCTGGGGAACAGTAGCTGCTCCTGCACCAGGGCTGTGTACCCTCAGCAAGGTACCGTCTCTCTTTGAGCCTGTGTTTTCTGCAGGCCATGAGTATTATACCCCTCTTGTAAGTGTGTAGTGAACATCAGATAACAGGTGAAGGGAGAGAGCCCAGCAGAATACCAGGCAGATGGTAGGTATGCAGTGGGGAAGAAATAGAGCTCTCATGACGAATCCTTGAAAGTTAAGTATCTTCCCTAATGAACCAGGCCCAGTCAGTCTTCTAGGTTTTGCCCAGCTGTTTGTAATATCTACCTTCTTCCTCTCACAATTCTACCCAGTCTTGAGGCCTCAGCTCCCATCCCACCTCCTCCGCAAAGCTGTCTCAGTTCCTGGAACTCTCTACCAATGACACCTACCATACTTATGGTCTGGCCCGATGAACATGGAAGTGAGTGATTAAGAGCAGCGGCTTTTCACCAGGGCTGCCATGTGTGGCTGGACAGGTTAGGCACTGCTCAATTGTAGAGAGCACCATTCACATAGATTGTAATGGGTTGGGACCCCAATAAATTGTGTAATGAAGAGGCTCTGTCTGTGAGTTAAGTGGCCTGATTTTGAATCCAGACTCAACCACTGAATTATTTGACCAAGCAAGGTATGTAACTTCCAAGCCTCAGTATCCTCATCTGTGAATGGAATGTTAATAGTATCCACCAAATGGACTAGTCGAGAATATTAGGTAGTTGAATTATTAGGTAGTTATTTAGAACAGTGCCTGATACATAGTTCACATTTACTGAGAATTTAATTTCATTATCATTATTACTAGAGTTGGTTTTTAATCATTTCATGTGTGGGTGTCTTTTCTCTGTGAGAAGGCTACATGGGGACAATGAGTCACTGAAATAGTTTGCAGCAGCTTGGTCCAGCACCTAGTGGGATGCAGGGCGTCATGCTGTCCTCTGGCTCAGGATCCTACTCTTGTTTTTTTTTTCCCCCAAATTCAATTTCATCAGCTAGTATTTATTTATTTATTTATTTAGAGACCAAGCTCCACTATGTCACTGTTGGTAGAGTGCTGTGGCATCACAGCTCACAGCAACCTCGAACTCTTGGGCTTAAGCAATTCTCTTGCCTCAGCCTCCCAAGTAGCTGGGATTACAGGCACCCACCACAATACTCCGCTATTTTTTTGTTACAGTTGTCATTATTGTTTAGCTGACCCAAGCAGGGTTCAAACCTGCCAGCTTCACTGTATGTGGTCGGTGCCATAACCACTGTGCTACGGGCACTGAGCTGATAATTTATTTTGAAACAGTCTCACTTTGTTGCCCCAGGCTAGAGTGTTGTGGCATCTCAGCAATGTCAGCAACCTCATGCTCCTAGGTTCAAGCAATCTTCCTCCCTCAGCCTCCCTAGTAGCTGGGATTATAGATACCTGCCAGCACACCCAGCTAGTTTTTCTACTTTTAGTTGAAAATGGGGGTCTTGCTCTTGCTCAGGCTGATCTCAAACTCCTGAGCTCAGGCACTCCACCTGCTTCAGCCTCCGTTAGGCCTTTTTTAGTTACAAATGACAAAGCAAACTGAGCCAAAAGAAGCATTTGTGGGCTGATGTAACTGAGAAAGAAGTCCAAGGGAAGACCCAGTGGCTTCAAGCATAGCTGGACCCAGGGCTCCTCTATCTCCTGGCTCTGCTTCTCTGAGGTGGCTTTATTCTTAGGCAGGGGCTTCCACGTCATGAAAACAGGTCGCTGAGGAGTCCGAGGTTACAGTCCATGGCTTATGATCCAAAAGGAACTGAAACTCTCTTCTCAGTATCCAGAGAACAGTCTTCTGGAAGGCCTCTGAGTAGCTGAGATTGGTTCACATGCCTACTTCTTGGAACAGTCATTGTAGCTTGAGGGATGGGGCACTTGACTGGCATAACCCCTGGTGTCCACCCTAGTTTGACAGACCCACAAGAGCCACATGTGATGTGGAAGGAACATTTCTTCAACAGAAAGAGGGGCGCTGGGAATACTAGAAAGTTGGTTATCTTTGCCTTTTTTTTTCCTGCTAAACCATCCAGGAGTCGTTGTCAACCTTCTTCATGGAACAGTTCATAGGTTATTTCCTCAGGGAACCTCCCCCCTCCCTTCTTTGCTGTGTGGACCTCAACCTTCCCACAGTAAATTACAAGTTATTCCCTGACTCTTTCAGACTAGTCTGGGAACAGCTCGAGGCAGGAATGAGAGCATATTCACCCATCTCCCTCAGGCCTAGCATCCTGCTCAGATTGTGGAAGGGACGCTATTGGTGACCTATCCAGCATTCCCTCCCCCTTCCTACTCAGATCTTGTTGGGCTCTATACCCTCTCCCCACTGCCTCAGGCTTTGTAGGGTAGTCATCCTTTGCCTCAGTGACTGTTGCAGGAACAGGCATGTGAGATTGAATCTGAGCCACTGAAGCGTTAAGGGTATCTGCGAAAGGATTTTTTTGCTCTTGTGGGTGGGTCATGGAAGCCAGGTGGCTTCTGCTCTTTCCTTGCTGGACCTCAACAAGGAAGCACTTTGCCTCAACTGCTACTGCTCACCACCTCACAGCCAGAGGGGGGCCTCCCTTAGGCAGAAGCTGACGCTGTGGAGACACTTGAAGAATCTAGGTTTTTTTGAGGTAGAGTATTATTCACTCTTGGTAGAGCACTGAGACATCCTAGCTCACAGCAACCTCAAATTCTTGGGCTTAAGTGATGATCCTCCTGGTTCAGCCTCCCAAGTAGCTGAGACTATAGGTGCCTGCCACAGCACCCAGCTAGATTTTTAAAAATTATGTATTTGGCTCGGCGCCTATAGCTCAACCAGCTAA